GCAATGTTGGCAAAACCATTGCCAACGTTGGGCTAACGTCTGAATTGCTATCTGGGATATAGCTGGAATATTGCTGAGTGCGGCGTAGATTCGGTTGATTCTAAACATCTCTAATGCGATTCCTATTGTGTCATAAGCGTGTGTTTATGAATCACTATCGACCACCTCCGTGGTGTAGTGGTTAGAGCGTCCGCCCGTAGAGTGGAAGGTCGCGGGTTCGATCCCCGGCCGCCTCATACCAAAAGACGCTAAAATATGGTACTTGTTGACTCTCTGCATGGCGCTCGGCAATAATGGGTACAACAAGGACTGGTAGGCTCGGAGTCAGTATAATGTGTCTGAGTGGGGTATTCATGCTTCACTGCGGCATGGTATCTCAGTGAGCTAGCACTATAAAACCAGCTTCAGTCTGGGCTAGTACAAGCAGCCACACATACACATGCATGTGAGTCGTCATATGAGCGAAATATTCTTAAGTGCCACGTTAAAACCTCAACTCACCTCACCTCACCTCACCTCACCTCACCTCACCTCACCTATGAATCACTATCGAAAGGTGATAACATCAGGTTCACGTTAAAAGGTGAACATACCCTGTCCCTTTGGTGGCACCCGTCATGTAAACACGAGTAACATCCGAGTGAATTTCTCAGCTGCTTTAACGGGAAGACAAACCAGCGAATTGCATAGAACATATACTATTCAAAAAATGAAACACATAACCCAGAAATCTTTTGCGAAACTGCTGTATTTTCAAACATGTGTAACTCGTCCACAAATAGACTTTAGTACATGATATTTTATATCAGAAAAAGGAAATGTCAATACAACGAAGTGGATAATGTTAGATAACGGAGACGCTGAGCGCGATGGTGACGACGTTATACCGTCCCGACGTCGGGTCTCCTGGCTCTCAGTCCAATCTCTCTCAACCTGTTCCGTACAGTTTGACCGGATATCCTCCGAAGTCCAGGCACTCTGGCTGCTGTGCTCTCATCCGTGGCAGTACGATCACGCAAATGTAGTACCCGGATGTACTGATCTTGGGCTACAGTGGTGACTCGAGGTGCGCTTGGTACGGGGACCGTCATTTGTTATACCTGTTGGCTTGTAACGAGCTGCAAGCCGTGATATCGTGCTCAGACTAATATTCAGACGCTTCATTCTTTCAATGGCGATGTTCCGTGTCCCAGCGTCAAGACGTGGCGTAGAGATTTGACCTTGAAACTCCTTCAAAACGAATGCAGATTTCCGAAAGTAATATGGATTTTTATATCCAGACAGTGCCTGCTCTGTGCTGCACAATTTCAACTGGAAGGTGATTTCTGTTGCGTTGTGGCGATGCCATTTTAATCCTTGTAAGAAATCTCATCAAAATCAACCTTTTCAGGTAAAATCGATTGTTTACTTGTGCAGTTGTGTAAAATCATGTTATCAACACTTTTATTACATATTTTGACGATTGTTAGCACACAATAGGTAATTACTACATGTAAAAAAAATGCAATACGCCTATGCGTTTCTTTTTGGGAATAGTATCTTTGCGTCAAATTTGGAAATGTCCCCAAATGTCTACAATGAAACTTTTTTAAAGGTTTACTTGGGGCGGTGGGGTAGCCTAGTGGTTTAAGTGTTGGTGGGGCGATGGGGTAGCCTAGTGGTTAAAGTTTAGGCTCGTCACACCGAACACCCAGGTTCGATTCCCCACGTGGGTACAATGTATGAAGCCCATTTCTGGTGTCCCCCGCCGTGATATAGCAGGAGTATTGTTAAAAGCGGCGTAAAACCATACTCACTCACTCACTCAAAGCTTTACTGAAGGCTTGAATGTTGTAGCTTCGACCAAACATTTTCTGAGATGAAGTCTTATGACGCTTTTTGACATTTTGATATAAAAAGGCTCGATTGTACCTAAAAAGTTTAAATGTAAAAACCAAAATAGCTTTAATATAGCTCGTCAGACCGGAAAGGTTTACTGTTTGAAAGTTAAACCACCACCCTTTTCATACAGTCTGGTGTTGAGGTTCTAGTCCCTCTGAATCGCACAGATGTAAATATAAAACAGAGTGAGTGAGTGAGCTCCAATTAGTTTGACACGTGCACCAACTCAGTGGATAGAGGGGTATTTTTATAGTGCGCCATTTGTGCAAGGTGTTAAACTGTGACACATGGTTACCACTCCAGCTGCGGGGCATGCTCACCTTTTCTATTGAATTGCCCTGGGGCGTTGTTATTTATTGTTGGGACGGTGGGATTAAAGCATTTGCTTGTCACGCCGAAGACCCGGGTTCGATTCCACATGGGTACAATGTGTGAAGCCCATTTCTGGCGTCTCCCGCCGTGATATTGGTAGGATATTGCTAAAAGCGGCGTAAAACTAAACTCACTCACTATTTAAAATGACACTGATAACTCAGTTTATGTTTACAAAAATCGAAAATAGGTCATATATGTTATGTGTGATAATTTATTGAATATTTACAGATATTTTGAGGATTTATATGTGAATTTTAATTATGAGGATATGAGGCGCACTGAGAAACTACGGTGACGCAATCTAAAACAGGATGAACAAACTACGGCAGCCCGGTGTGAGCATTAAACGATAGTAAGCGACCGACTTTTCTGTATTTAATTTGTTCTGAATAAAATACTGTGTAAACCAATGAATTAATTGAAATTTGAAGGCCCATACAAAAAGGGTTGTTCAAATAATCGGCCCCAAAGGAATTAAGATAAAACCACCGTTTGTCCAGATACAGTGGGGTATTACTCCAGAATAGAGGGACGGTGGGGTAGCCTAGTGGTTAAAGCGTTTGCTCATCACGCCGAAGACCCGGGTTCGGTTCAGCACATGGGTACTATGTATGAAGCCCATTCCTGGTGTCCCCCGCCGTGACATTGCTGAAATATTGCTAAAAAGCGGCGTAAAACCAAACTCACTCACTCACTCTAGATTATTAACTTGTTCCCAACGTTCTGATGACGCTAGATCGAGCCCTGTGCAAGAACAGTCTAAACACTAAGTAACCACACCGTCGTTTGTCCAACAAAGTGGTCCGAAATCGCCTAAAATCGGTCGGGTATAGAGCCAGGCGACCGGTCAGACGCTCGCTATCCCCAGAGCACAAAGCAGCGTGACTAGCTTGGTGTCAAACTCAACGTCACTGGAATCTGACGTCATGGGGAAAGGTCCACTGGTCGGACGAAAGTCGATTTCTTTGGTTCATAGCCCTTGTTTGGTGCCGCAGAAACGCTGCATATACACAACGTAATATCTTGGAGCAAGAATGGGACAGGAATTGTTTGTAGGGCTGCCTTTCATATGATGGTTAACTTTTTTGTAGTTTAACTTATTTCTGAATCCCTGTTTCAGTCAAGACTAAGCAGCCAGGGAACAGCTCAGTCAGAAGATAGGCAGCAATCTCATGGGATACAGGTGCACATTTTTACGACAAAAGACAAACCATTCACTCACCATTCACACAAACACAAAGTTGTTTTTAATTATCAGGCAAATAAATTAAGAATATAATTATTAATTCAGTTGTCTTTGAATAAACCATGATATAAGAGTCATTTAGAATAAAATTCGGCGTTACAGCTTTTGTAAAACAAAATACATTTGTCAATACTGTATCTCAATCTCAACTCACTTCTGAACTGAGCAATATTTGGTAAAGCAGAATTGAGCTTGCGTTTGTACAAGTTATATTTTCCCAATAATATGAACCAGTCAAAAACAGAGTTAGTAAAAACATTTTTCTTACAGCCAAAATTATCAGTTCCAAAGTGAGTTTGGGATGACGGATTTGATCACAACCTTCTGTTAACCATGTTAAAAATTTGACCAAAAGGGTTTGAACAAATTCACACTCCTATGGTAAACCACTGAGTACTGAATGAATCTTGAATGACAAGTCGAATCAGGATATATAGTTATCTGTTTCCTTGACTAAAACAAACCAAGGCAAGATCATGGCCATGATTTCTTCTTTGTCACTTTCTGAAGTCTCCAGCTATATTTCTAAGTCGATTATAGTGTCTTTTGTTCGAATCAGTGTGCGAAATAGTTTCCAAATTTTGCAAGCCAATTGGGCTAGCTATGCTTAAAGTTACTAGTCCACACAATAATTCACTAGCGCGAAATTTGAATGTAGACACGGGTTTCATCATTAAGCTGCTGATATGAACATTTATATCAGGCCATAAATCTTGCATGATTTAAAAAGTGTATTATAACTTAACAAGTCGGAGAGAGTGATATATTTACAAAATGATCCAATGAAAAGTCACCAGCCAGTCGTGCCAGTAATTGTGGAGATTTACTGGCCCGACTGGATTTTTACCAGCCACGGGCAAGCGGGCTAGTGGCTATTTCGCACACTGGTTCGAATCCCAAATGTATCATGATCATGATCCTTGGTTTGCCAGACAATTACAGAGCTTCATTTTCACCGTAGTTGAACACATTTAAGAGCTGCAGTCCCCTGGCACATGCATTGGGTGAGTGAGTGAGATTTAAACAGCTTTATGCAACATTCCAGCAACGATTGGGATACTAGGAATGGACTCACACGTTGTACCCATGTAGAGAATAGAACCCAGGTTTTCGTTGCGACGAGCGAACTCTTTAACCACGTGGCTACCTCACCGCACATCCTCCGACTTGAAGGTGACACGTCGTAATACAATTGAGTGAGTTTTGTTTTACGCCGCTTTTAGCAATATTCCAGCAATTGAATGTAGGGGACACCAGAAATGGTTTCACACATTGTACCCATGTGGGAATAGAACCAGGTTTTCGTCGTGACGAGCGAACGCTTTAACCACTTGGCTACCCCACCGCCACCATAAGCAATACATGAAATCCATTTATGCGTCATAGCATAATTACTAACTCATTCAATTAGAGCAAATATGTCCGATACAGTTCACCATATTTTCAGGTCGCCTCCTCGACTCTGAAGCTGACGACACTCGACCAGTGCACACTTACACTGCATCCAACATGGCGACAGCTGGAGCCGCCATTCTTCCACTTCTTCTCTGTTTATGTCTGGTAGATGTGTGTTCCGGTTACAACATTGACGTTGTCCACGCCCGTGTCCTCCATGGACCAGAAAAAAGTATGTTTGGATACGCCAGTGCCTTCAAGAGGACTCAGTCTGGATATAAGTAAGTGCAAGAACTTATAGTCACATCTTTCAACAGGAAGTCACTGTAAACGAGACGATCACAGTCACTACCACGCTTCCCCACTTTCTTAATGATGCGGGGCGGTGGGGTAGCCTAGTGGTTAAAGCGTTGGCTCGTCACGTCGAAGACCCGGGTTCGAATCCCCACATGGGTACAATGTGTGAAGCCCCTTTCTGGTGTCCCCCGCCGTGATTTTGCTGGATCATTGCTAAAAGCGGCGTAAAACTAAACTCAGACTCAGTCATATATATGTGATCATTTGACGGTGGATTAACAATTGCAGAATGTGTTTTACTGATCGTGTTAAGGAGATGGAAAATCTCCTACATGCATTTATGATCATATATTTAGGCTATATCCTGCATGTATATATGAGCGCATATAACAGGGACATTGACATATCCTGCACATGTATATATGACATATAACGGGGACATTGATATATCCTGCATGTATATATGATCATATAACAGGGACATTGAGATATCCTGCATGTACATGTATATATGATCATATAACAAGGACATTGACATATCCTGCATGTATATATATGATCATATAACAGGGACAATGACATATCCTGCATGTATATATGATCATAACAGGGACATTGACATATCCTGCATAGATATATGATCATATAACAGGGACATTGACATATCCTGCATGTATATATGATCATATAACAGGGATGACATATCATGCATGTATATATGATCATATAACAGGGACATTGACATATCCTGCATGTATATATGAGCATATAACAGGACATTTGGCACAAATCCTGCATGTATATATGATCATATAACGGGGACATTGACATATCCTGCATGAAAGAGCATATAACAGGGGACATTGAGATATCCTGCATGTATATATGATCATATAACAGGGACATTGACATATCATGCATGTATATATGATCATATAACAGGGACATTGACATATCCTGCATGTATATATGATCATATAACGGGGACAATGACATATCATGCATGTATATATGATCATATAACAGGGACATTGACATATCCTGCATGTATATATGAGCATATAACGGGGACATTGACAAATCCTGCATGTATATATGATCATATAACGGGGACATTGACATATCCTGCATGTATAAAGAGCATATAACGGGGACATTGAGATATCTCTGCATGTATATATGATCATATAACAGGGACATTGACATATCATGCATGTATATATATGATCATATAACAGGGACATTGACATATCCTGCATGTATATATGATCATATAACGGGGACATTGACATCCTGCATGTAGTATATGATCATATAACGGGGACATTGACATATCCTGCATGCATATATGATCATATAATGGGGACATTGACATATCCTGCATGTATATATGATCATATAATGGGGACATTGACATATATCCTGCATGTATATATGATCATATAACGGGGACATTGACATACCCTGCATGTATATGATCATATAACGGGGACATTGACATATCCTGCATGTATATTTAATCATATAACGGGGACATTGACATATCCTGCATGTATATATGATCGTATAACGGGGACATTGACATATCCTGCATGTATATTTTATCATATAATGGGGACATTGACATATCCTGCATGTTTATATGATCATGATAACCATGATAACGTATTGGCAAAATGGCCCCCTAGATATATATACGCTCCCAAAAAGAAACGCATATCGGAATTTCAACTGTATTTTTATGTTTGTTTTTGAAACATCTTGTAGGCTTTATGAGTCAATGAAATATAGCGAAATTGCACACTGGGAATGCAGACTTATCAGTCTTTGGCACCAACTCGAGGAAAGTCAGTTTGAGTGTCACATGGAGACGTGTGGTGGCGCTGAAGTCAATACCTCGTGTGACCACCGTGGGCATCCAGAACTGCACGGCATCGCCTCGGCATCGAACGAATAAGTCTCAGAATCTCGTGTTGCCCAATCGCAGCCCCCACTCTGCCTGTAGTGCCTGTGCGAGTTGCTGAAGTGTCTGGGGCTGAGGGTTACGGCGTCCCACCCGTCTGCCCAGGGCATCCCACAGATGTTCGATCGGGTTTAAGTCCGGTGATCTTGAGGGCCAGGGGAGCACATTGATGTTGTGGTTGTGGAGGAAGTCTCTAGTGTGACGACGTGCTGTGAGGGGCCTGGCATTGTCATGTTGAAACAACTCCCTCTGGCGATCAATGATTGGAAGGAGGTGTGGGCGTAGATTTCGTCACAGTACCGTTGAGCTGTCAGGATGCCCTGGATCATCACCAAATCACTTCTCCTACGGCAGGTGATCTCACCCCAAATCATAACACTGCTCCGGCCGAATCTGTCCACCAGGGGAACGCAAGCGTCGGCGAAACGTTCACGTCGACGTCTGTACACCTGCATTCTTCCATCGCGTCGTTCCAATAGAAATCGTGATTTATCATTGAACCAGATTCTACGCCAATTCGGTAGGTTCCAGGCCTGAACGTTGGTGCACCATTGAACTCGATGTCGACGATGTTGTTGTCGAAGCACAGGGCCAAAATAAGGTCTTCTGGCACGTAAACCAGCCTCTCTCAACCTGTTCCTGACGGTCTGTGCAGAAAGCCTCCTCAATCCGGGTATTTGTCGACTGGTACTGGTCGCCGTAGCTGTTCGATGACGCAGGTGATGTACCCGGATGTAGCGATCCTGCGCCGCAGTGGTCGCCCACTACGAGGGGGCATCTGCTACCGCATTCTGCGAGCTATATCTCTCCCAGAGCCGTGAAATGGTGCTTTGGTGAACATTCATGCGTCGGGCAACTGCACGTTGAGACTGGCCAGCTTCAAAGCAAACCAATGGCGATATGACGGTTGGCTTCACTTAGACGTCGCATTTTGCGTTCGTCAACAATATTCAAATACAGTGAATACTCGACAGACAGCGATCAACCTTTTATACCCATCACTGAGACTATCTGATCCCCAACTTTCACGTGCATTGCATGTGAAGTGTGTATTCTGTGACACTACACGCCGAAAATTGAAAATCATGCTGTTAAATACGGGTATTTTACGGATGGTGCGTTTTGTTGTGATGTTCCAAAACATAAACACCATAGGACTCATAAACAGAGCTAAACCTTTTGTAAAATGAATCACGTTTTAATTCATTGATACATGAAATTTCTATTTTCATGATGCGTTTGTTTTTGGGAGAGTATATATCCTTTAACAACTTCTAAAGTAGTCTCCGTTACAAAGCCCTTTTTCTGATTTGGACAGTTTCTCGTCATTCTTAAAAACAACAACCTATGTTTTGTTTGCATTTTACATTAAGCTTAAATTCACGGCAATGGCCTTCCAGCAAAGGTAATTTTTGTGTGGACCCTTCACTGTGCCCGAGAACATGATGAGCATCAACAGTAAACAATGACAAAAATACCATAACAATGTCGGGTGCAACTGAATACCATCTGTACAACTTTGATACACAACTGGCGCTAATTCATTTATAAAGAACATGGACAGAAATGGGCTTAGTATACAGCCTTGGCGTACACCGACAGTTAAATGTTGATGACATAACACCATTGTTACGCACTCATGTTTTCACATTGTTATATGATGATTTTATTACCTCCCTTCGTTGGCTTTTTATTCAATCAGGTGTCTACGCTGCGAAGTTGAGCGTGCAATCACAACTCACTTTCGCTGTATAAATTATCTAACCGATTAAACTTGGCAACACAATAATATATTGTTGCAGAGGTACTCTGAAAGAGGTAGAAGGAGTTCTTGCATGTATTTTTTTTGGGATTTCCGACCTGTCAATTTGTCTGTATGTTTTCCCCAAAGATCTGAGTCGCACTCTCTTGAACAAACCTTCGTGCTGCGACCGCTATCTTTGTTGACACTGGCAAGCTCGGTTGCAACGGCGGCTTATCTAAATGGCTACTGTGAGAATGCGGAGCCAGCAAAGAGAGGTAATAAAATCATCGGCTCGAGCCGTAGATGCATCAGGGTATAGTGGAGATTTATCGGAACATTATACCTGGAGATTATCGAGGATTTGCAGCTTTGTGCTCTGGAGATGGACGTCTGATATAGGTCGTCGTTCTCTAAACGGGGCCGATTTTAGGCGATTTCCGGACTTTCTGTTGGGCAAACGACGATGTGGCCTCTGTTTTGAACAGATGAAGTCTTGATACTGGGAATTTCTGTATCCTCCCAAAGTAGCTGTCATTCGGGGGTGTTCTGGTGAATCGGCTGTTGTCGATGGACAACTAACATCACTTGCAATAGCCCTCAATGATAAGCCAGCACTCTGGCCTTACTGAGCAGTTGTCTGTGGATGAGACCCATATTTGCTTATCAACAACGAAATCAATAGATTTCCAAGGTATTGAGCAGTAAGAACAGTTTACTGAATCTTGATATTTGCTTAATGACGGATGCACACGTATTGCACGGTGACGCTCACCTTTGATCGTGAGAAGAAGAATGCGCATCAATGTATAGTGCGTCATAAGGGTGAAACTACAAAATTATGATATGCGAGCAACAATTACTATATGGGTTTATAAAATAAAATAAAATGAAATAAAATAATAAAAACACAAAAATTCCCTAGGTGTTTGCGTTACTTTTTTTCCATGTGTACGCATAATGGTATATGACGGGGAGATTGAGTCCTGTTTACGCAAGATCTTTGTTACGGAAGGAGTGACTTGGCAAAATAAAAGCATATTCAGGGGATTGCCAGTTTTGATTGATCATGTAACGAGTTCAGTAATAAAGCATATTCAGGGCATTGCCGAATTTGGTTTATCATGTAACGAGAGTTCAGTAATAAAGCATATTCAGGGGATTGCCAGTTTTGATTTGATCATGTAACGAGTTCAGTAATAAAGCATATTCAGGGGATTGCCAGATTTGGTTTATCGTATGGCAGGATTCAGTAATAAAAGCATATTCAGGGGATTGCC